GGGGCCCATTTCTTTCCTATGCTACCCCAGGGGTTAAGAGGTGTCTTGGAGAGCTCACAGGACATTCACATATTCAGGTGTCCATTTTAAGCATCTTTAAAGTCTTTTATAAAGAAAATGCCCTTCCCTGTCTTGGTGCCATCTGTTCTGAATGGAAAGTGGGGACTGTCAGCACATCCCTTGGTCTTCCCTTCTTCTCCCCCTGTGTGGTCATCCCCTCATCCCTCCCATCCATTTCCACCATCATGGATGGATAGAGGACACCATGCAGTCCTTGAGGCAGTCCTGAGTAATTCCATAATCAGTTCTATGTTTTGTTTTAACTGTCCTTCAAAGCAAGCAGGTGTTTGGAAATTAAGAAAAATATTAAATTCTCACCAGTGGTTGCTGTTACAGTTAAATCAATAAAGATCTTGAATTAAACTGTGTTTTATTTAATGAGAAATAAATTCAGGTAAAATCTTGTTGAGGATCATTTTAACATTTTTGGAGTCGTAACTGATGAGGGAGGTGACCTAAGATAGTTGGCCTCTTTATGTTTCCGTTTCAACACTTTGGGAGCATTTCCTTTGTCAGTCTGACCCTGGATATGCAAGGGGAGATGACCCTTGTCAAGGAGCAAGAGCCTGGTCCTGTACTTAGCAGCAGGGAGGTAAAGGTGTATACACTGCGGAGGATGTACGTTAAGGCCCTTTCTAGGTAGGTAGCAGCCTCAAAACCTCAACAACAGTCTGTCTTTTTCTCTGAAGGGCTGGCTGCCTTGCCCCACAGCATTTGTTTGACATCTATTATGTCTTAGGTCTCAAAATAAATGAGGCCATGCTGTGTGAGCATCAGATTCCTTGCTGTTGTTAATCCAAGTCTCATGTGTTGGTGTGGTGAGAATTTTGTCCTTTCATGTTTCAGTTTTTGTCAACAGAGGTCCACAGAATAAAACTAGACTTGAAGTGTTTTTCCCCCACGGTATAATATAGAAGTTTAGGGCACACAGTCTTTGGAGTCAGGCTTGAATTCCAGCTGTGCTGTTACGTTATGTAGTTGCATGGCCTGAGCAAGTTATTTAATCTCTATAAGGATCAGTCTCCTGAAATGGCATTAAGGTCACTTTTCTAGGTTTTGAGGTGCAGGTAAAGTAAAGTACTTAGCTCAGTGTCTGGTACACTAAAACCAAAAACCAAACCTACTGCCATTAAGTGAATTCCAACTCATAGCAGCCTATAGGACAGTATAGTACTGCCCCATAGGGTTTCCCAGGCTACAAATCTTTAAGAAGCACACTTCTACCTATTTCTCCCATGGAGTGGCTAGTGGGTTTGAACTGACAACTTTGTTAGCAGCCAGATGCCATGCCACCAAAGCTCCTTGCCTGGTGCTTTGTGTAAGAACATAATAAATGGTTATGAAGGGGCTCCAGCACAGCCCAAAACACAAAACTCACTGCTGTCAAGTAGATCCGACTCCTAGCGACCCCTCTTTGGGTTTCTGAGGCAATATCACTACAGAAGTAGATTGCCCAACCTTCCTTCCAAGGAGTGGCTGGTGGATTTGAACCCCCAGCCTTCTGGTTAGCAGTTAAATGCCTTAGGCACTACACCAGCCCTGTAGTCATAAATGACCAGAGGTCATTGAGTTGGATCTTTTCCCCAGTTTGGGAGCAGAGCAGGAATAGGGGTCCCTAGTTAGGGGACCTCTAGAAGGACTGTAGCCTAAAGAATCTCTTAAGGGAAGATGGGGCCAGAATAGTTTTGAAAGCACTTTAATACATCTTTTACTCTGCCCCAAAGGCAATTTAGCAGAGGATTTTACTGCTAATAAAACATGAGACTTCAAGATGCAGGTAACCCCTGGTTGTGGTCTTCTGAGGGTAACGACCACTTGTGTACCCTGTTTTTGCTTCTCTTATATTGTCTTTTTTCTACTCCCATCTACTGCTGCCAGTCCCACCCACTTCCAGCCAAAGAGAATGATACATCCAATTCTTCCCACACAACTACCAACTTGGTACTGCTATAGGAACATTAGACCGGTCTACTTAAAATAACTCCTATTAAAAGTCCCTTCCTAACCCTAGGTGAGGAGCTCTGTTGGCCTAGTGGTTAAAACATCTGGCTGCTAACCAGGAGGCTGGTGGTTTGAACGCACTGTAGCTGGTCCAGAGAAAGATAGGGCAGTCTGCTTCCCTAAAGTTTTACAGCCTGAGAAAGCCTATGGGCATTTTTCTTGTAGGGTTGCTATCTATCATTTGGACTCCACTCAATGGCATTGAGTTTGGTTTTGGCCCCAGGTTAGGGCAGTACCCAGTTCCATAGGCAGTATTTCCTCTGACTTCAAAGCCTTTAGCACACAAGGTCCAAAGCCACAGTTATGCTGCTAGGCTCTGGTATGTAGGCTCAGCCCCAAATAACTGGCCAACGGAGTGGCCCTGCCGCTGGCACACCAAACACAGAACTTTGAGCAGGGGTCAGCAAGATGTTCATAGAGTTCAACTACTTTGTGCCTGCATCTTCTGCTTTGTATGAGGCAGTGCCTTGTTAGTGAGCAGTGTTCTCAGAGTCAATGGAGCTGCTAACGCCCACAAACTAGCACAAATAGCTTGACTTTTAACTTTTCCTGGTCCTAGCCATTTAAGAACTGTCGGGGCACCTACTTGCTAAAGAAGCAGCTCTAAAAGTCCTAGGATGGAGCTTTCATTGCCAAGAACTTGAGTTTAACAGTGGGCGTGAGTTCAAATCTTTGGTTCCAAAGGCTAAGGCTTTGACCCAAAGCAAGAACAAAAACCTCTCTGTGCCCTTAAGAACAGTGCCCCTGGGACTCAAGAGAATGGGTTCAACTCTTGGCCCTGCCACTTGTAGCAGTGTGGTTAGGCCACTTGGCTCTCTAGAATCTCATTTTGGAAAGGGGATTGGACCAGCTGACCTCAAAGTCTGCCCTGGTTCTACTACTCTCTTAAGTAGAGTCAGATGGAGGATCCTATTGTGATTCTGTGTTGTGGTTAGGGCAGACTCTGGGCAGGTCTTCCAGTCTGGGAAATGAGCAGCTGGATTGGCTTTGTTGCTGAATCAGGGAGCTGAGGCTGCTCAAGCCCAGGCCTGGCTAGCAAACCCAACCCCGGCCTGAGCCAGGATTACCACCACTTTGAATCAACCAAGGCTGCAGCTGAGTCATCTCTAAACTCAGCAGGGGTTCCCACACAACTGGCATTTTCCTAAGGTTCAAGCACAAGTGGATGTGCTTCCTGGGAAAGCAGGGTGGGGGGTACGTTTATTATGGACTTGCTCCCAATACTCTAACCCCCAAAAAAGAGGGGGGAAAAACCCCAAACACCTAGCCCCAATTTTGGCAATGTTCAGTGAGGTCAGCAGGTAAGAGCAGAAAAGGACCCATGGGGTCCTTTCATCAGAAAATGAACTCTTATGCTCAGGTAGTGGGTGGTAGAGCTTCCTGTAGGCAAGCTTGAGTCTCTTGTTCTGCTGTGTGGAACCTGGAATTAAGTCTGTTTTAAACAACAAAAGGGCTGATAACAACAACAAAAAAAAAACAGTTACCATTCTATAGGGTTTTCAGGGAGCTCTGGTAGCATAGTACCTAAGGCACTTGACTGCTAACCAGAAGGCTGGCGGTTCAAACCCACCAGCCACTCCTCTGAAGGAAGATGGGGCAATCTACTTCCGTAGTGATACTGCTTGGGAAACCCAAGGAGGGATCGCTGTGAGTCGGGGCCGACTCAACGGCACATAACAACATCTTGCAAGTAGACCTGCCGTACTTTCTTCTGAGGCATCTCTGGGTGGATTTGAACTGCCAACCTTGTGTTTAGTAGCCAAGCACATTAAATGTTTATGCCACCAAGGGACACCCCAAAAGTTGTTGATAAAAGATTAGGTTAAAGGGCTATTGCTGAGGCTGGACTTAGGCTTTTGTAAGCTTTAGAGGTAGATGGGGAATAGGCTCAGAGTACATGCTAGCTTAAATCTCTTCTGCCTGCCACAGACATTTCACAAGAATGTGTTAGAATCCCTGTCATTTTACTGGAAGAAGCTGAGCAGTGAATTGGTCACCTGAAGTCACAATTTCTCATGGCTGAGCTGCAACTATCACCCAAGTCTGTCTTGTCTTCACCCCTGCTGGACAGGAAGCTTGAGGCCTCATTAAATAGCACACACTGAGAGACTGAGGTAAACTGTCATCAACTTTAATAGATGCTGGTTGTGTCTGCCCAAGCAGACTGACTCAAGGATGCCTGGAGGGCTCCAGCTTCTGTAGTCCAACATGACCAGTTCTCTTGGATGAGTTCCTGCTTCTCCCTTCAAAGGCACCAGCTGGTTTAGGAGAACTCTACAATAGCTTCATTGTTTGTGCAACTCATTAGCAGAGACCCACTCCAGGGAGCCTCAGGACAAGGCAAACAGCCTGCCACTGGACAGCCAAAAAGATGTAGGGGCTCCCCCCACCCAGCCTGGGTCAATGGGAGCAGCATACTTGACACTCAATAGTGATACTCCCCAACCTAAGAGTGGGGTAGGGTAGGGTTGCCACCTTGAGAATATATTAAAAGCTATAAACCTGGTCCTTCCTCAAAAAAAAAAAAAAAATTCACATGTGTCCCAACGTTTACATGCACCTTCTGGGGATTCACAGGTTAAAAACCAACAACAACCAAAAAAATCCGTAAAGAGCTCTCACACTAGTGCTTTTTACTCGCCACTGTCTTTAGTGAAGAGAAAACTCAGCAACCCCTTCAACTAGCTTCCTCTTCCTGACCATAGCCTCTATGTTTAGCCAGACTCCGCGGAATAGAGTTATGAGGAAGTTTGTGTGGGATTTGCTATACAACTCCCTCCATTTACAGAGTGGGCAGCCCTTCCTCTTCAGTTCTGGTGGACAGAGCAAAATCTCGCCCCTCTTTGTTTCACCTCATTGCTTTAGATGGCAATCATGTCTCCTAAAAACTTCTCAACCTTGCAGCATACAGGCAAATCCAGCAACCCTTCAGAATCTCTTCAAAGGCATCCACATTCTTCCACTATCATGTCTTTATGATGATCTAGGAGGACTCTGCCATTTTCCACGTAGAGCATACTCAATGGCTTAGTCTTCACGGGGACACAGCAGGTGGAAGGGACTCGGTGGGGCTGGTAATGTTTCAGCAGACTCTATAAAAGGCAGGAGAGGAAGTCAACACACATGCCAACAGTAAAGAGTACAAGTTACAGAGTTCAAATCAGTTTGTGGATGTGAAAATAGAAAACTACAAAAAGGAATCAGTATGCTAAGACATCATCAACTGTCTAAAATAACGTTAGCTGCTTTTCTTTTTAAACAGACTTTACAAAGATTCTAAAAGTTATCTGTGCCTGGATAGAACAATGCCTAACTTATGTGTTCTCCTATTTTCTAGTCTATCCTGAATTTTAAAATTCATTCCATTTAAAAAGTATTACCATGAACTCCCTGGTTTAGTTCCAGAAATATGAAGTGAATATAGAATTATGAAGAAGTTCTTTTAGGATTTGTTTTGCTGCCCAGAGAAAGGCAAATGAAGTCAACAGGAGAAAAGGTAACAACAACGTCTTGGCATTTTGGAACTGGGTGTATCCCTGAGGTCTAATAATGTCTCTTCAGGTCAGTGGTATAGCTGGTAATTGGGACTATTGAGGGAGCTCTGGTGGTATAGTGGCGTAATGCCTAAGGCATGCGACTGCTAACCAGAAGGCTGGCGGTTCAAACCTACCAGCCACTCCTCGGAAGGAAGGTTAGGCAATCTACTTCTGTAGTGATACCACCTTGGAAACCCAAGGAGGGCTTGCTATGAGTCAGCCCCAACTCCACAGCAGTGAGGTTTTTTTTTTTTTTTTTTTTGGTGGTGTAGCTAGCGCCTAGGCAATTTGACTGCTAACCAGAAGGCTGGCAGTTCAAACCCACCACCCATACCTCAGCAGGAATACTGGGCAATCTACTTCTGTAGAGATACGGCCTTAGAAACCCAAGGAAGGGTCGCTATGAGTCAGAATTGACTCAATGGCAGTGAGTTTGGTTTTTTGGTTTTGGGTCTCTCTTAAAAAAAAGAAAGAAAATCCACTGCCATCAAGTTGATTCCGACTCATAGCAACCCTATAGGAGAGTGGAACCATAGGGTTTCTGAGGCTGTAAACTTCACATGGAAGCAGACTGCCACATGTTCCTCCTTTGGAGCGCTGGTGGGTACAAACTGCCAACTTTTTGGTTAGCAGCCGAATCCACTAACTGCTATGCTAAGTGTCTATGGTTCCCTTTAATCATGCTGCAAGTGGGTTGGTGAGGTGAGGTGAGACTCAGGAGGGCTTCTGCCTAGGACAAGGCCTCCGAGGACCCTGGCCCCCACCTGTGCTTCCCCTGCACAACCTCAGCTTACATGGTCATGTTCCCCAGAGTCTCTGAACTGAGCCTGAGGCTTGGCATAGAGGATGTACTGCAGGTCCAAGAATACTTATCCCAGGCTTCATAGATTAAAAACTTTTGGTCCCATATGATCATTGGGGTAAGAGCAAAACCACTGCTAACTGAGGGCCACCATGATAGGCTCTATTCTCTCCATCTCTTTCTCCTTCCTAACTTACCCATTCTTCTGTTCCTCTCCCTCCACCACCTCCTACACCTTACACTGTCAGTGGCACCTGTTGGCAGCCCTTGGCTTTGTCTACTCCTTGAAATGGGTGGCCAACTCCTGTTTAAGGCAGCAAAAGTACAGTGGCTAGAACAGTATTATCCCAACTTTGGCACCATAAATGGTGCCTCAACTCAACTCATCAACCCACTTGCAGCATGATTAAAGGGAACCCCAGACACCTGGTGGCATAGTGGTTAGTGCATTTGGCTGCTAACCAAAAGGCTAGCAGTTCAAACCCACCAAAAATCTCATTTCAACATCAAACATGCCTACCTCCTGGCACCATTACATATGCTTTATGCAAATCACCTCATTTAACCCTACTACACCCCCATGAAATACGGCATTGCCACCTCTAGTTTACAGGTAGGGAAACTGGCTCAGAAAAGTAAGCAATATAATATCACACAGCCAGGCCTATTTCTCCCTAACTCCCAGATTCTGAACTTCCTTTCCTAGCATGTAAGGGTCAAGGAGGACCTGAGAACCTCTAGTTCAGCCCCAAACTTTACAAAGGAAAAAGGCTCAGGGAAGCAATGTGCTCAAGGCTGAATAATGGGACGTAGGCTCTATGAGGCTGTTGTGATTGGTCCTCTCTTTAACCCTAGTACCTAGCCCATGATTGGCACACTGTAGATGCTCAAATGACTAAATGAACATAGTGATTTAATAGCAAAATTGAGGTCATGTTTCCCGGTCCAACAGTATGCTTCTCCCCCACAGCTTACTGCCTCTCTTCCCCCATGCCTTGGCATCATACCTGGATGTATGCATGGTTGGTCGGATGAAACTCCTCCCCAACAGGGTTGGGACACTCGCCCTCACAGCGATAGGCATTGTACTGCTTGGGGTAGATGATCCAAGAGCCCCATCCAATCTGGTTGAAGTCCACCTGGAATTTGACCTTCCGACATAGTTGGCTTCTGTCTGGCAAGTGATGTCGACGGTGCCGCCTGCCCCTCTCATGGGACAGCTGTCCTTCCTGGGCCCGCCAGGAGCTCTCAGCCTCCCACAGCAACGTGGAGCCACCGAGTAGCCTCTGCTCCTGGGAGAGGTTGGAGTAGAGCATGAGCAGCACTTGAGTGATGGGTGATTTGGGGGGCCGCTGCCAACACTCTCCGGCCTGCCTGGACATCTGCTCCTCCAGCTCCCTGGGGTGCTTCAGCCACTTGGAGAGTGGCCTGGTCACCTCCAGGACCATGCTGCCTGGGGAGAAGGTGATCTGGGACGGAGTGATAGTGAACAGGTCCATCTGAAGACGCTCCCGGCAGCCAGCTGGGTCCTGCTCCGTGTCCAGCTTTGGCTGGTGGAAAATCTCGATGGAGAGCGGGGCCTCAGTGGGATGGTCCACAGGGCTAGACAGCTGCAGCCGGAGCTCAGCCCACTCCAGGTCCTCTTCCTGGCTCAGGAAGGAGAAGTCAAATGCAAAGGTCCATTTCTGCCCTTCCACCTCCACATCTGGATAGGAGAAAACCAGGAAGGAAGCAAGGTAAGTGTGTGTAAGTAAGTGTGTATAAGTTGTGTGTGTGTGATGGGGGAACTTACCCAGCCTCAAAAATCATAGCTCCCGTTCAAGCCCTTGGCATTATTCCTCACGCCAACCTTACAAGTTGGTAACATTATTGAGTCTATTTTAGACATAAGGAAACTGAGGCTCAACAAGGTTAAATTACCTGCCCAAGGCATCATTCTTGAGAGATGTCAGAGCCAACAGTCAAACCTGGATTTGCCCAACTCCAAATCACTGTTATGCCACTCCCCCTTAAAGATACTCTGCTGCCAGAGATTGATAAAAATTTGTTGATTTCCATCTTACCTTCTCCACTCTCCCTTCATACACATAGTCTAGGCCAGCCCTGAGCCTTCTAACCTAAGCTCTGAGTTATTCTCTCATTGGAAAGGCTGGGGTGGTTTCACAGGGACATTGATGTAGATACATGATGTAGATAGCATGGAAAGGCTTAGGGCTCTCAGGGAGGCACGGGTAATTATCAAAGACAACCACTCTCTCCTATAGCTGTTTCCAACGAGGGAGGTAGAAACTTAAGGACTGTTCTGACAACCTTACAGACAGGTTTCTAAGGCATTTTAGGCATGACTTTGAATAGACATTGCAGTTTTCTACCCAGTGATCTGCCCTATGTATATACATGATGCCCACTCCCTCTTGCCTAGATTGTTCACCCACACATCTAACATCTATGGAGGGCATACACCCAGCAATCACACAATCACCCCCATCCCTGTCTCAGTCACCCAAGAAAACCAAACCCGAGCTTGATGCAAAGGGTGGGGAAGCACAATTCCATTCACTTTAATGCTGGGCTAATTTGGGCCCCTGTTGGGAATACAACATATTTATGGATTTTCAGGTCACTCAAAAGTGATATTTAAACTTTTTCCAAGCCCAGTTTCCCTTCCTTGCAGTGGGTATATTAATTCCCAACCCATCTCTGCATTATCCTGAGGACCAGGGGAAATAAAGAGGTTTGAAGGTTTATTGTTAAATAAAAACCAATTGTCATCCAGTAGACTCCAACTCATGGCAGCTCCAAGTGTCAGAACAGTATAGTGTTCCATAAATTTTCAATGGTTGACCTCATTAACCATTTGCACTGCCAGGGACTTGAGGTAGATAAAAGTCAGGGGTTTTATAGTGCCCAGCTACCACTGTCAACTACTTGGAGGGGGATCAGTGCAGGAGACCCTAGACCGAATAGGGGAACAATGTGAAACAAAATTCAAAATCATAAAAAAAAAAAAAAAAAGATCAGGTTTGCTGGTTTGATGCAGCCTGGTGAGATCTCAGAGACTATGGACCCTAGTTACCCTTCAGGTCTGGAACTGAATTCACTCCTATGGCTTCCAGCCAAACAACAGGCATATGGGGTGAACGTTTACATCAGATACACACACTCCTTGGAGCAATTAATCCTGGGAGAACAGAAGGGCAGTGTTTGCTCAGGGAGACAGCTGGTAGAGGGGAGAATACATGGGAGGGAAGGGCACAGGGAAGAGGTAACTACAGGGAAGAATGGGAAGAGAGCTGTTACATTGTGGAGAATTGCAGTCCAGGTCATGAAACAAAATGTGTGAACTGCTGTATGGAAAACGAATTTGCTCTGTGAATTTTCACCCAAATCACAATAAAAAATTAAAAAAAAAAAGGGGGGGGGGTTGGTTCATTAGAAATAAAATGCCATCTGGGACTGTTTTGTGACTTGATCTCGGAGGTAGTGGTGATCTCCGGTTTAGGCCTACTCTGAACGGACTACATAGCATTTTATTCTTCTATTGTCTCACAGAGCATCTTTGATCAGATACTAAGTAAATTCTGCTGGGAAATCCAGCCTGCGTTAGCAGAGGCAATTCCTGATTTCAGCCCGGCAGCTCCTCCCAGCCTGATGCAGCTGCTTCTTTTCACTTAATTTCCACTTCCCTCCTCGTTAGCAACTCTAAGGGGGAATAACCGCCCCTGACTAGCAACTCTTCCCAAAGGTGTGGGGAGAGGAGGTGGCATTATCCATTACGCACTGGACTACCATCTGGCCACCAGGGGATTAGGTGGGTCATTAGGTGCTGCTAAAGGTGGGACATGTAGTAAGTCGTGAAGACATCCCCCAGGAGGCCTGGGGACAGTGATTTAAAAAAAATATTTTATCTCAAGTAGCTGCAAATGGCAGGTATTCCAGATCAAGGGTCTCTGGAGTCTCATGGTGATGGTAAAAGTTCTGGCCAGGCCACTTGCTAGCTGGTTTGACACTGGGCAGGTATTTTCCTTCTCTGGGCTTTAGCTCTGTGGTCTGGAAAAGAGAGCTCATAATAGTATCTACCTCAAAGGGGCACTGTGAAGGTTTACTGAGATGCTGTTAACTGCCCTGACTCATCGTGACTCCCTGCACAATGGAACAAAATGCTGCCACGTCCTGTAGCCTGAGTCTGGAAACTTCGCTGAAACCTTTTGAGCTCCATAGCTGGGCATGAGGCCAATCAGCTAGGAACAGAACCACTGAAGCACCACTGCCTCACATTAACTTAAGATTAACGAAGGCACATAAAGTGCTTTGCCAACACAACCACCAAAGTTCAACTCAAGCTGGCTGTCATTGACAACTCCTTATTACTGCTTAGCTCCAAGAGTCAGAAGTGCAAGTGCCTGGCCAGGCAGCGGTGAACCTGGGCAGGGGAGTGCAGTCCTCTGTAACCAGGATGGGCAGTGTGCAGGGAGAGGCAGGGGAGAGACTGCTCCTTCCAGCTGAAGGGTCTGTGATTCCAAGACCTGCCGCCCTCTCCCCAGCTCAGAGCTCCCTGGAACACAGTGCTAATGGTTCTCCTAGATCTAGCTCAACTTTTTTCTAAGTCGATTCTGACTCCTGGCAGAATGTGTTAAACCCAACAGAACTGAACTCCATAGGACTTTGTTGGCTATAATCTTTATGGAGACTTTTCTTCTGCAGTGCTGCTCAGTGGGTTTGAACTACCAACCTTCTGGTTGGTATTCGAGAGCAAACTGTGCCACCCAGGCACTCATTTTAGGAGTAAACTCACTGCCACCAAGTCGATTCATTCTCATAGCAACCCCTATGAGGTTTCTAAGACTGTATATCTTTATGAAAATAGATTGCCTCATCTTCCTCCTGTGGAGCAGCTGGTGGGTTTGAACCACCAACCTTTTGGTTAGCAGCCATATGCCTTACCCACTGCACCACCAGAGATCATTAATTTTAGTGTTTATAACATTTGTGGGGTCACCAATATCTGATAACAAGCTGAGGCTGTTCTCCCCCCAGAAAAAAAAAAATGCATCTATTCCACTTACACAACAAATGTGATTTGGGGTGAGTATAAGAAAGGGGTTCATCTGCTGTATGGAAAGTGAATTTGCTCTGTAAATTTTCACCCAAATCACAATAAAAAGGGGGAAAAAAAAAAAGAATAGGATTTCCAAAGGTCAAGTGGAGGATGTAGGATTTCTAGACAGCAGAAAGAGCATGAAGGAGGGTGCCAAGGTACAGTTCAGTGAATATCAAGTCATCTTCTATAGCTAGATGTTAGAGAATTCATGCTTGAAAGCTGGGAGGGAGCCAATCTCAGAGGCTAGGATGAATCTTGCCAAACTATTAAACTGCAAAGGCTAGATTAAAAGTGTTACTAGTAGAATACTTTTGCTACAGCTGCCAAGGATAAAGGAAGTTTGTACACTAAATTTTGTGTTTTGATAGAGAGACTTCAAAGTGTGAAATGTTGGAGGGGATACAGCTTTGAATAACTGAGTGAATGAATCTGTTGGAGTTACTGTGAATCCAATACTCATTATCTTATAAGGCTGTTGGATTACAATTAGGGGCTGTAGTGATGTGGTCCTATGCTGATGATACCTTCAAACTCAGGAGCTTATGGTTTTATTGATTTGTACATGGAGGCATTTTAGACTTTCGTATAGTTGCTTTTTATTTTTAGTTTTGAAAATAAATAAACCCTTTTTGCCAAAAAAAAGAAAGAAAGGGGTTCATGGATACCCTGAAATCCATCTAGGCTCTGAAGCAGGGCACACAGGTGCTAGGGATACGTCAACCGATCTCCAATTAAGAAGGAAGTTCTTGGGCTCATGAGCTTGGGTTCCCTTCCCCTCACCTGACACCCCCTCTCCCTTAAACAGGGCACTAAGGCTGAGGAAGAATTAGGGACCCTGTGGGAGGGTAAGGGTATGACTCTGACTGCCACCCTACATTATTATACACTGTAAGAGTAATTACCATTAATCACCTCCCAGGTGCAAAGTGTATTTTACAAGCATTGTCTCTTTAAATCCCCTCCAGCGTTATCACCATTTTGCAAGTGAGGAAGCTGAAGGTCAGCTTCCTCAGGTACCCAAGGTAAAGGTTAAATTAGCGAGTTACACAATGACAAATGGAGATGAAAATTCCATTTTGTTTGATTCCAAGGCTCATTTCACTGTCGTTGCACAGCTTACAAATAAACCCAACAGGGTAGACAGCGGGTGTAGGACCCTCCTTTCTCTGTGCCCCTCCAGAGAGGCTCTCCTCGCTGCTTTTAATAAACGAACCCAAAAGCAAGGAGAAGACGAGAAAAGTTAAGTGATGTGCTAGGCCTAGGCGCTCGAGGGAACTCGAAGCAGGATTTGAAAAACCTGAGCCCTGTTTTTCGGATTCCCAGTCTCTAGAATCACCGCACAAACCTTCGAGAATTTTCCGGGAGGAGGAAGTGAACTGGAAAAGGAGCCCCTACTTGCTGCATCCCACCTCCGGGCGCAAAGGCCAGGGCCCACCATCAACTTTCTCACTGTCTTGTTTCCCAAGGTGCCCCCGCCAGGGCTGGTCCCCGGATGACCCTTCCGGCGAGGGTCACCAGCCAGCCGACCCCAAATGCCGCGGGCAGGGTCCGTAGGAGTCTCCGCCCCCGGGCCACGAGGGGCCTGCGGGCGGCCGTCAGATCAGATTAGCGGATGTGGATTGAGCCCAGCCCCGGGGAGGGCCGTCTGGCCCCCGAAGGCAGGGGAGGCGCGGGCTCCAGAAATTGCCAGGGCGGCGGGATGTGGATTGCGCAGGGCAAGTGGGGACTTGGGGTAGGACTCCCGCTTCGCAGCAGCCACCGGCCTGCCCTCGCCGGTTGCCTGAAACGCGCTGCCAGGTCCTCAAGGCAGCGACCCGCCGTGACACACGACCCGTCTGGGCTGCGAACCTGGTCTCACCCAGGACGTGGGCACCTCCCCAGACCGAGGACCCAAGGCTGCCTCAGTTCTCGACCTCGAGGCACCCCATTCCTCATTCCGAATAGGGTACAGGCTTGAACTCGGGTGTTGAAGCCACCTGCGGCCGAAGACAGCCTAACATTCACCCTCACCCGAAAAAACAAGCAAAGCAAACAAAACCAACCAAACCTCGAGTAAAAATGAATAACAATTTTAGCTATTTGTTAATATAACCATTTTGGACCAAGGGCTATATGCACTGTCATCTAGCCCTCTCAACAGTCTTGTAAGGGGGTAAGTTTTATCCCTACATGGCGCTATGGTTAAAGCTGGGCTGCAAACCAAAAGGTCAGTGGTTCGAACGAGCCGCTCCTCGGAAGAAAGATGCGGCAGTCGTACTCGTTAAGATTCACAACCTTGGAAACCCTATGGGGCAGTTCTACTCTGTCGTATAGGGTCCCTATGAATCGGAATCAACTCGATGGCAGTGAGTTTATTATCCCAATTCCACAAATGGACCGGGAATTGTTTCGTTCTGTTGTACTTGGGGGTCGCTTGGAGTGGGGGACATTTTACAGATGTTTCAACCGAGGCTTAAATAAGGAGGTGAAATAAGATCGCAGATGAGAAAGACGGAATCAGCCTCCCACCCTAAAGCGCCGCGCTCTAACCTACCCAAACCTAGAGGCGGAAAGCCAGAATCCGCCGCATCCACCAACCCTGCGCCCGGAGCCACAGCGAACGCTGAAACACACCCCAGTCGCTACCTTGCTGGGCGCAATTAGTTGCCGTCGACGGCCGCGGCGCCCCCACCACCGAGCTCAGTCCCCCGCCCGCTCCACTGCACTTCCGGAATCCGGAAGGGAGCTGTAGCGGGAGGGGCTCCGGGTGCCCGACCCAGGGCGTCCAGGGCCGTCGGGGCTGGAGCCGCGCAGCCTACCTTGTGCCTGCAGGCTGCGGATGAAGTCAGCCCGGAACAGTGGGTCAAGGTAGAGCCTCAGCATGTACGCGAGAGGGGACGGTGAGGAAGGCTGCCCCAGGTTACGCAGCGGCAGCGTGGCCACCGTCTCGGCGCCCACCTGGAGCAGAGCCCACCAGGCGTGCAGGAGAAGCAACAGCAGGCGGTGGGCGTGCATGGTGGGCTGGCTGGGCCTGGGAGCGGCGCCTCTGCCCCTTATATCCCCCGACCTCCGTAGCCGCCCCGCCCCCGCCCTTCCTCCCTTCCTCCCTCCCTGGAAACTTTAAGATCACATGCCCCCCTCCACCCCCGATGGGGGTGTGTGCAGAGGGACCCCCTGGGAGGCTGGTGAGACCTGAGCCTAGACGGGAGGAGCCCTGCAAAGCTGGGGGGGGGCGGCGTGGTGCGCGTTAGATTCTGGGACGGGTTTTGGGGGCTCCTGTTTTGCTTGTTCTGGGCACCTCAGCACCCTGGCACCCTGCTACTTCAGGGACTAGAGACCTTGTTCTAAGACAGAGCGGGCTTTTTGCTAGCAAACTCCCAGGTCAAGATTGTGGCTTCCCTGCTTCTGTCTCACCTGGGCCCCTTGGCCCTTTCCCTCCCTCTGGGCTCCTCTTCAGGAGCAGGTAGGGGATGCTGGGGGATGCCTGGCTGGTACAGCCTTCCCCTACACTGTCCAGATGGCCTCTGGAGAGTCTGGAGGGTCAGCCTTAGGAAAAACTGGAATACTGCTAGGATGCTGGATGAAGAAGGTGAGCTCCAGGTGAAAGCCCAAGCACCTGAGACATAGTAACATGCCTCAGTACTGGAGTGCTCCCCTAGGGAGGGAGCTCTGGTGGCCTAGTGCCTGTGGCATTTGACTGTTGACTAGAAGGTTGGTGGTTCAAACCCACCAGCCACTCAGTGGAAGGAGGACAAGGCAATCTACTTGGGTAAAGATTTACCTCCTTGGAAACCCAATAGGGGTCCCTAAGAGTTGGAATCCACTTGAGGGGTTGGTTTTGGTTTTCTGGTTTCCTAGAGGAGACTGGGGGCAGGAGCACTTAGAAGTCTGAAAAGGGAAGTGTTAACAGAAGCTGATCCTGGCCCCCAGATGCAGTGTCACATTACTCAATAAACAAGGTAAGCATGGGTTTACTTGTGCTTATTTACTAATATGTAATGAACAATTTCACTTTAAAAAAAAAAAAAAAAAATCCAAGATTCTGCTTTTAGTATGGCTGGCATCTGTCTCTGTCCCAGCCCCACAGCCCTTCCTCTTTTGCAGTTTATAGTCCTTGACAGGGATGGATTATCCCGTAAGCAAGGTAAGCACAGGCTTCCTGGGTAATCTGCCTCTGCCCAGGTGTGAGAGTTGGCCCTCCCGATCTCAGGAAGAAAGTTGTGCCCCTTGTTCTGAGACCCTTGCCTTGCACAGAAGGACCACAGGAAACCTGGGTCAAGACAACTAACTTCCATCTCTCCGGGGCCCCATTTTCCTTATCTGCACAATAGTGAGCCTGGCCTTGCCTCCCTTCCAGGTGCAAAATCAGGGCAGGGCTGGGATTACCTTTAAAGAAATGTAAATCCCTGCCTCAGTGTCAGGCGGATCTGTTTTCCTCAATTTAGGAGGGTTTTTCTTTTCCCCCAACCCCCATGCCCGGTGCCCTTTCTTAGGCATGACAGACACACTGGTGGTGGTGTGTGCCCTTGAGTTGATTCCAACTCAGACCTGTATGACAGCGTAGCCCCAAAAGGTTTTCTAGGCTGTAATCTTTATGGAGCAATCACTCCGGTCTTTTCTCCCTTAGAGTGGCTGGTGGGTTCGAACCGCAGACCTTTTGGTTAAGTAGCCCAGTGGGCCCGGTGCTCTTTCGTAGGCATGACAGACACACTGGTGGTGGTGTGTGCCCTTGAGTTGATTCCAACTCATAGACCTGTATGACAGCGTAGCCCCAAAGGGTTTTCTAGGCTGTATGGGGGAGCTCTGGTAGCATAGTGGCTAAGACACTTGCCTACTAACCAGACGGCTGGCGGTTCAAACCCACCAGCCACTCCTCGGAAGGAAGGTTGGGCAATCCTACTTCCGTAGTGATACTGCCTCGGAAACCCAAGGAGGGGTCGCTGTGAGTTGGAACCAATTCGACAGCAGTGAGTTTGGTTTTTTTGTTTTATTGTGTGCCAGGCACAATGCTAAATGTTTTATACACCTGACTCCTTTTATATGATGCTCCAGCTCAAAAGAACCGCAGGCTCAGACCTGAGCAGATGTTACAAAATGGAAGGAGGCCCCAGACCTGTCTCCCTGAGGAAGTTGTCCCACCCAACAGAAAGGGGCCTCCGTTAGGAATCCAGAGACCTGGGTTGTAGTCCCATCACCAGCTACAGGGCCTCGGGTAAATTATTGTTCAGCAGATTGTTAGCTCCTTAAAGCTGGGAACTGCCTTGTTCATCCTGCTCTCATAGTCTATCATAGTTGGGACCCAGAGAATCTTAGTCATATAAGTAAATCAATGAATGGCACTTTCTAGACTCACCTGAAGATAAATAGTATCACCTGAGATGTTTGTTAAACTGTTGATTCCTGAGTCTTTCCACCTAGTTTTTTCCACCTGGTTGATTCCACCCAGTCTTTCAGAATTAAAATTTGGAGAGAGGGTTTGGTAATCTATAATATTTAACTAGCACCCAGTGATTCTTATCAGAAAACTTTGGGAACTTGGGTGGGCTGGGGTTCTAGTAGAGGTTTGTAAACTATCTCTCTGGGTCAGTTTCCTTATTTGTAAAACATGGCCACCATGGTTGTCCAACATGATGAATGAAATTAATGTCACTGAATTGTACGTGTAAAAAATGTTGAAATGGCAAATGTCTTATTACATGTATATTTACCACAATAACAACCAAACAGACATGGCTGGAGGTGCCTCCTCCCATGCAGATGAAAATGAAAATGCTTTGCAGGCTCTGAACTGTAAAACATTAAGAACAAAAAAGTTGCCATTGGGTTGATTCTGACCCCACGTGTGTCAGAGTAGAACTATGCTCCATAGGGTTTCCAATGGCTAGTTTTTTGGAAGTAGAGCTCCATGCATTTCTTGAGAGATGCCTCTGGGTAGACTTGAACTACCAACCTTTCATTAGTGGCTAAGCAAGATAACCATTCTCGCTGCCTAGGGACTCCTGGGTATGCATATGGGTATTATTGTAAGTGCTCCATGCTTATCAAGGAGCTCTGGTGGTGCAGTGCCTAAAGAAACATTTACTGCCTTGGAAACCCAAAGGGGTCACTGTGAGTCAGAATCGACTTGATGGCAGTGAATTTGGTCCATTCTTGTCATCTGACTTTCCCAGCCCAGGGGGCTTGCTGGCTGTAGGGTTCAGGATTGTCCACCTCAGTCCCTAAAATCAGACCTGTCTCCAGAGGCTGAGTGAGCCACCCTCACTCAGGTTATATCTGTATAAATAAAATAATGATAGATACGGTTCTTGCTATAGGGGCCCTTGACAAGGACAAACCAAACCAAACCAAACCCACTGCCATCAAGTCAATAACAACTCATGGCGACCCTCATTGGGTTTCTGAGGCAATAAATCTTTATGGAAGTAGATTGCCCAGGTTTGCTTCCATAGAGTGGCTGGTGGGTTTGAACCACCAGTCTTCTGGTTAGCAGTCAGATGACTTAGACACTGCACTACCAGAGCTCTGACAAGGACAAGGGAACCAAAAACGACAACACAAGGGCAGTACAGATAGCTCAACTGAGTCAGCTGGGATGGAGTCAGTTCTGAAACTCAGATTTCCCAAATGGCCAGGTGTCTTAGAATCCAAGGCCTCTCTGTTTAAACAGAGCAGCCTGTCCACCAAGATTGGGGGTGGGGGGGAGTGGGAGATGATAAATTTGCTTATCTATATTATACCAGAAGCTTTTTGAAATTAAGGATAAAGTTTTATTCACCCCATGTCCTTTGTACTAAGGAGCTCTGGTGGCATAGTGCCTAAGGCATTTGACTGCTAACCAGCAGACTGGTGGTTCTTAACTCACCAGCCACTACACAGAAGGAAGATGAGGCAGTCTCCTTCTGTAAAGATTTACTGCCTTGGAAACCCAATGGGGGTCTCTATGAGTCAGAATCGACTTGACGGCAGTGGGTTTGGTTTTGATTTTGGTCCCGTCTACTACATGGCACATAGTAGGTGTTCAGTAAATGTTTGTCAAATTGAAACAAATGATAATAACAACAGCTCGCATTTATCGAGCATCAGACACTCTGCTAATCACTGCATTGATGACATTGTCATTCCACTTCAGAGATGAGGAAACAAAGGCTTAGAGGGAATAGTAAGATGACTTGTTCAAGGCCTTAGATTTATAAGTGGAAAAAGCCAGTGTGTACAGGGCAGATCTGCTTGTCACTCAGACCCATGCTTTTGGCCCCTATCGTTTCCCTATAGACAAGGGGGTGAAAACATGTCTTGTACTAAAACTTTAACACTCTCAATTGAAAGACCTGCCTTTCTTAGTCCTTTAGCTGCAGACAGCTCGTTTCTGATGTGTATTGGCCCAGGCTGAGTCAGGGCATGGAATGGCTCTCTGACTACAAAAGCAACTGTCTGACAGAACCTGTCCATCTCTGGAGAACCTTCTCTGGCTCTTGGATCCTAAAAGAATCCGAATCTTTGTAGCCTCTTTGGGACAGAGACTTAATATTGTCATCCTCATATTCTAGGCACATTGATTAGTCCAAGATCTGCTTCCTGCAAGAAGGACTAGAAGTGGCTTCTTCCCAAGGGGGTAGCACCTTCCAGTTTCCCCTGCCCCAGACAGACTGACCAACAGATTACCTGACCTGGAGATAACCTTTGGGGGCCATCCCAGCTGGCTGGAGAGTGGTGGGTGGTGGGGAGGGAACAAAGTCCCTCGCAGTTGTCAACTGCTTTCTGTCGGGCAATTTGGGATTCTCCCTTGACATGAGCAATGACGTGTCGTATGGGTAAGTGCTTGGACTCTGAGCTCTGGTCATCTGGGAGGCAGAATCTGGATCCTTCCCCATCACTTACCCTCTGTGTATATTCCATCTTGACATTTCTGCTTCCTCAGCTATAAAATGGAGGTAAATCATAGTATCTATTTGATAGGGGTGTTGTGAGTAGTAAATGTGTGTAAAGACTACATGCAGCATGTAGTCATTTATTCA